CTTGAATCCATGGACTTCTTATATCCGCCCCTCAATCCAGTTACGCTACGCAGAGTATTCGGGGGTCTCGCTGCCCGGTCAGCGAGCCGGGGGTCCAGGGGGCGGCGCGCCCCTGGCCAGGGGGTCCGGGGGGATGGAATACCCCCCGGCGGGGTTCGGGGCAGCGCCCCGAAGCTCCACGGTATACACCATGTTCGGTATTGGATTTCGTCAACTGAACGCATGCCTGAGCTTCAGGTTTTGCTGATGAAACGCATATTTGAGAGTTGCGTTTATTTTGTGGAACACACTCCTGAGGGTTGCGTTCATTTTGTGGAACGCGCCCCTGAGGGTTGCGCTCAGTCTTCTTCACACAGAGCCTATGTTTGGGCTCATAGACGCGAGACTTGCATTCTGAAACAGAAACGCAGGGCATAGGGTCGCGTTTAGGCTCACAAACACGAAGCTCATGTTGAATTGAGGATCAGCATTCTCGGAGATGTGCTCGTCGTAAGGATCTCCTCCTCCGTCGAGCGACGTTCTTCTTAGCCTGCTTCAAGGCCTTTGTCGCCTCCATGGGCATCTTTCGACCCGATACCCGTCGGCTTGGCGCGGGTTTGGCTGAAGCTAAGCCCATGAGCCCACTCCATCGGAGGAGGGGCTGTCCAAGCAATCTGGCCCAAAGGAGAGGTCTTCCTTCGGCATAGGAGGAGCAGTTGGATCTTTAGTCTCTTTGGAGACTTTGTGGATCTTGCGCATAGCCTTAGGGCTAAGGGATCCGGAGGAGATAGCCTCCTCAAACTTGGCTTGATCAAACTCTACCACGAGAGTTTCGACGATTGTTCCAGTGAGATGAACATCGAATTGCGCCACCACTTCTTCGTCACAGAAACTCATCCCCAGCGGAGTCGCCATCTTTTGTTTGTGGAAAATTTACAGTAAAAAGAAACGAAGGAAAATTAATTTGTATTCCTTTAATCTCAGTTACAATTGGACTTCCTGATTACAAAAGAGAAGAGAATGATCTGGATTCTCCCCTTTGTTTAATTCTGGGTTCTTCACGGTGGCGATGAGATGCCTCCCTCGAATGCTCGCGTCGAGTTTGCTTCTCGTTGACGATCCGATGTCTTGTTTCACTGGAACGTGGTCTTCTCCTCATGATTTGACGTTATGGAGAACTCTGAACGAGTTTAAAACTCTATGAAAGAGTTGATTTAACCGAAAGTCGGTTATAAGCCAAGGATAAAGAAGATCTTGTTGCCGATCTCCAAAGCTCCAGAAATGCTCTAAGGATCCTGTTGACGAGTTCTGGCAGCGATTAGAGCTGCGTCTGGCAGCGATTGCGTTTGCAGCGATTTGGAAGCTGCGTCTGGCGGCGATTAGAGCTGCGTCTGGCAGCGATTAGAGCTGCGTCTGGCAGCGATTGCGTTTGCAGCGATTTGGAAGCTGCGTTTCGCGGCGATTTGAGCTGCGTTGGGTAGCGATTTGAGCTGCGTCTGGCAGCGATTGCGTTTGCAGCGATTTGGAAGCTGCGTTTGAGCTGCGTTCGTGGCTATGAATGCGGTGCGTCTTGATGCTGGTACGCGGGGAGGACTTCCACGTCTTGATTTGAAGAGACCATTGATTTGTAGTCTCTTTCTGTCGAAGCGTTGCAAAGATCGTCATTTTGTAATCTTTACTTTAGCTCTTTGATATGCAAGAGTCGTCAGATTGTAACTCTCGATGTTGATTGTGAAGGCTGTTTAACTAGAGCTCTCATCGGTTGTCGTGAAGGTCGTCAGATTGTAACCTTCAGCGATCTACGTGAAAGTCTTCAAATTGTAGCCTTCTGGAAGTCGTCAGATTGTAACTTTCATCATCGGTGTTTGATGGGGATCAGCTATCTATTGTGATTTTTTGACAGCCTATAGTGATATGTCAATTAATCGTGCTCTATGTGATCTCGGTGCTAGTGTCAGTCTTATGCCACTGTCTATATGTAACAAGTTGCAGATGGGAGACTTGAATCCCACTACTATCTCCCTCCAATTGGCGGATCGATCGGTTAAACGTCCGGTAGGTATATTAGAGGATGTACCTATCCAGGTTGGTAAATTCTACATCCCGGTTGAATTTGTTATTCTTGAAATTGAGGAGGATTCTCAAATTCCCATTATATTGGGAAGACCTTTCCTTGCCACTGCTGGAGCGATAATTGATGTGAAGAATGGAAAGCTCTCTCTCAATATAGGGGATGAAAAGGTAAATTTTGATTTGTTTTCTGCTATGAAGTTTCCACTAATTGATGATACTTGCTGCATGATTGATACGATTGATATGGTGGTTAGAGAAGACTTTATTAAATGCATATCAAGTGATCCACTTGAGAAATGCTTAGTAGAGAATGAAGGACCAGTTGACGATGATCAGGAAGTACCTTCCTATGTTACGATGCTTGATGGAAGTCCAACCTGCACCAAAATCACCTACAGCAAAGGACTTGATGCAGTGGCTGAAACTGCAAAAGAGTTGAATGCCCAGGTTGTGTCCATGGACACAGCCGTGTCAAAAAGCAGCAGAAACAGCCCAGAACAGGTTTGTGAAAAGAAAACTGCACCTAAGGTAGAACTAAAACCACTCCCCTCCTCGCTCAGGTTAAAGGAAGCGTTGACAACTGCCCCAGTTATGAGATCACCTGATTGGAGCATTCCATTCGAGATTATGTGCGACGCAAGTGACTATGTTATCGGGGCTGTTCCTGGGCAAAGGAAAGAAGGGAAAATATACGCTATATACTATGCCAGTAGAACAATGGATGAAGCTCAGATGAACTATGCGACAACAGAAAAAGAACTCCTAGCCGTAGTGTTTGCCTTGGATAAATTCTGATCATATCTTGTTGGGTCGAAGGTCATAGTATTCACAAATCACGCTGCTTTGAAGTACCTCTTGGCTAAAAAGGATGCAAAACCACGACTGCTAAGGTGGATTCTCTTGCTTTGAAGTACCTCTTGGCTAAAAAGGATGCAAAACCACGACTGCTAAGGTGGATTCTCTTATTACAGGAGTTTGATCTCGAGATAAAAGACAAGACGACTGCTAAGGTGGATTCTCTTATTACAGGAGTTTGATCTCGAGATAAAAGACAAGAAAGGAACTGATAATGTGGTGGCTGATCATCTCTCTAGGCTTAGGCAAGATATGGATCAAGGAGAAGGTGAAAAGGAGACATTTGATGATTCGTTCCCAGATGACAACCTGTTTGCTATTACAAGTCTTCAAGCCCCTTGGTTCGCTGATTTTGTAAACTATATTTCTTGTGGGGTATTACCACCTGAATTGTCCTATCAACAACGCAAGAAGTTCCTATCGGATGTCAAGCACTATTATTGGGATGAACCTTGTCATTATAAGCGTTGTGTAGATGAAGTATTTAGAAGATGCTTTCCTGAAGAGGAGGTATTAGATGTCATATCCCACTGTCATTCTTCACCATACGGAGGTCATGCAAGCACCACCAAGACCGCCGCTAAAAATTTGCAATCTGGGTTCTATTGGCCTTCACTTTTCAAGGATGTGAGACATTTCACGCTTAGTTGTGATCGTTGTCAACGGACATGAAATATCTCACGGAGGAATGAGATGCCACTAAATAACATTTTTGAAGTCAAACTCTTCGACGTGTGGGGGATTGACTTTATGGGACCTTTTCCGCCATCACGCAACAACAAGTATATATTAGTAGCAGTAGATTACGTGTCAAAATGGGCTGAAGCTTTATCATCCCCAACAAATGATGTGAAAGTCGTGGTCAAATTATTTCAAAAGGTCATTTTCCCCCGGTTTGGTGTCCCAAGAGCTGTAATCAGTGATGGAGGATCTCACTTTGCAAACAGGATCCTAAGTACGCTTTTAAGGAAGTACGGAGTAACTCACAAAATGGCTACACCGTATCATCCTCAAACAAGTGGTCAGGTGGAGATCACTAATCGAGAAATCAAAGGAATCTTGGAGAAGACAGTGTCTCGTTCAAGAAAAGATTGGTCTATGAAGCTAGATGATGTTCTTTGGGCATATCAGACAGCTTATAAGACTCCTATAGGTATGGCACCATTCATATTGGTCTATGGGAAATCATGTCATTTACCAGTTGAAGTGGAACATAAGGCACATTGGGCTATCAAGAACATTCATTTAGATTTGAAAGAAGCAGGGGAACAGAGAAAGCTTCAACTAAATGAACTCGATGAATTAAGGTTGGATGCATATGAGAATGCCAAGATTTACAAAGAAAGAACAAAGAAGTGGCATGATCAACACATCCTTCATAAAGAATTTACAGAAGGGGACCTGGTACTTTTGTTTAATTCTCGACTCAAGCTTTTTCTGGGAAAACTTCGTTCGAGGTGGTCTGGACCATTCCAAGTGCGTAAAGTATACCCATTTGGGGCTGTCGAAGTATGGAGTGAAGCCATGGGAACCTTCAAGGTCAATGGACAGCGATTAAAGCATTATTTCACAGGAACTCCGATCGAGAAGTTGGGTACTTTTACCCTTCCCGATTCATCATCATTGTGAGCATTGAAGGGGTCGAGCTCATGACCATAAACAAGCGCTTCTTGGGAGGCAACCCAAGTTTCTCTTTCATTTTATTTTTCCTTTTAGTGTTTTAATTATTAGTTTTCATGACATGTAATCAAGTTTCCGTGAACTGGTGTGTAGGTGAATGACAAAAGGAAAATAGGTAACAGAGAGTTCAAGGCTAAAGAGGACAGAAGGAAAAATATTGAATACACAGTTGACACGGCTAGGCCGTGTCCACCAACACACCCGTGTAGCAGTCGGGACAGTCTTTATCTCATTTCCAGAGTCTACCACACCCTGGGAAGGCGTCCACCACACCCGTGGCCCTAAAATCCCAGACTTCTTTTTGCCCGGCGTTGACTGATCAATTAATTCTTTGACCTAACCCATCAAACCCCACCCCTTCTTATAAAAAAAAACACCTGACATCCCAATTAAATTCCCCACCTCCCAAACAGCCTATCAATCCCAACCTCCCCAAAAAGCCATTAACTTCTCCTCACAACCCCACTAACTTCCCCACCTCCCCAAAAAGCCATTAACTTTCCCAAAACCCAGTTCACATACTTCCCCATTGACTTCCCGTACCTCGCCCACTCATCATCCCACTGACTTTAGTCATTCTTTTCCACCTCTTGTCTAACCCAAAGCCAGGAATGCTTCCAACACAAAGACAACACATCTAAAGTTCCGACGAGAGAAGCGTCGTCCCGCAACTCCAACGATCTTCGATTCAGCCCCATGGCTCCAAAACGCAGAAAAAAACAACGACGCAACAACCTCCAACTCACCGATAGCATCGCAACACCGGTCTACAAGGGGTAACCCTACGCCTCCTTCCAATAACCCTGATGGTATTATCTTTGACCCTGATCTTAATCAAGAGGTACGATTTAATAACTTGGTCTCTAGGCGCATGACATCGAAAAAATTCATTGATAATGATGCATTGTTACAATCAGGACTGAAAGAAAACATCTATAATTTGTTCAATGGCATTGGTTGGGGAGAATTTGTGACTTTGCATCGGCCTACATACAGGAGACTTACCCTTGAGTTCTTAAGTTCTTTAGTTGTTGATGCTAATGATAGCGTCGCAGGTGGTCGTCTGATATTTCGTTTCTTTAACAAATGCTATGTGATCAGTATGGCTAAATTTAACCGTCTTCTTAGCCTACCTGAACAGGTACTTAGAAACCCCCCGAGAGAATGAGATCCAGCCATCTTTTGGAGAGCAATAACCTGTGAGAGAGAGGTTAGAGCAAATGTTCGACCTTATGAACCTTCTAAAAATAAGGCTTCCCAAATTTATAACCCTGTTTTCCGCTATCTACAGCGGCTCATGGCAAACACCGTCTTTGGTAGGGGAGAGAGCGTCAGTGTTTTTAGGTACCGAAGTCTTCTTGTTATACTGTCTTGTCAATAGGATGGTGGTTGATGTGGGATACTTTTTAGCCAAAAATAGGATGGTGGTTGATGTGGGATACTTTTTAGCCAAACAATTAGAAAAAATCGGGAAATCTAGTGTAGGTGACATTGTTGTTGGAGGATTGATCACATTTAGCCAAACAATTAGAAAAAATCGGGAAATCTAGTGTAGGTGACATTGTTGTTGGAGGATTGATCACGATCCTCGCAGAACGTATGAAATTATCATTCTCTCACCTACCAATTGAGAAACCAATATCCCGATTGGATTTACCATATTGCACAGCTTTTAGACTTATAACTAAAGTTGAAGACGAATATTGGTTAACTTTCTTTCAAGGCCCTATTTTCCCACTCCCTAATCATAATCTTACTAACACTGAAAGCCAGGATAATTGGCAGCCACCTGAAGGTGATTTGCCTTACGAACCACCTCCTCAGGTACCCCTACAACGACCGGCTCCACACACTTCGCCCGACGGTGCATCCACATCTAGTGCGTCCCCCAATTGGATCAACAGGTTCAACATGTTGGAGCGGGGGCATCAACACTTGAAAGAGTCCGTCCACTCATTACGACAAGATATGGGCACACAATTCCATGCCATTAACGCGCGTCTGCATGGTTTTGACACTACACTAGGGACGATGAACCAGTTGATACAAGATTTGCACCACTTTTCTCTACCTCATCCTTATGCACCTCCACCGCCACCTCAATGAGTGGTGAGTCCCTCTTATCCTCCTTTCAATTACTCAAACACATTGGGGACAATGTGCAATTCAAGCATGGGGGATTGGGTGTGTTGGGATGATGTTTCATGTATGCTTTAGTGTTTTTGAGTGCTTGTTTTCTGTGTTGGGATTTTTCATTATGATTAAAAAAAAAGAGTACCACTGTTTGAAAACTCTTCTAACACATGCATCAATTATTTCACATGCCCCATTGTTAAAAAAAAATTTCTTTGTTTCATGTTCAGTTGGTTAGGATGTTATCTGTTCGAGTTCCACTTTGTCGATACTTAACTCTAAACATTGGAGAGATAGGAATGGATTTTGGCTCAACCCATCTAATTAAAACCTAAGCTTCTTTGGTGACTTGGAATACTTTTTGGTTACTGGAGAAACACTCGGCCTTGTAAAAAAAAAGTCCTAAAGTCTGTTGCACCGAGTACCTAGCACCGCACCCTCAGAAGTATGGCTGTCACGTCAGTAGGTGTTAATTATGACGGGATTTTCAAAAAAAAAATTGAATAAAATGCAAGGAAACCGAGTGCTCCTTTGAGACCTTAAGTAGGAAGAGTATGACCCATTGTGATGAGATATGTGTCTGTCACAAGAAGTTTTGGGCAATTAACTAAATTTTTTTTTTAACTTTGTCATGCCATTTCTCTTTCCAACATTTATGAGTTGAGTCACTTGCACTAACATACGTGAAAGCCTACAGATACATTTTCTTCAACTTTGAACTTGAGACAAGATTTCTGTTTTGACATTGGGTTGAGTGGAGCCTACAGATACATTTTCTTCAACTTTGAACTTGAGACAAGATTTCTGTTTTGACATTGGGTTGAGTGGAATAATGTTGCATGTGAACTTGAGAATAGACAAGATTTCTGTTTTGACATTGGGTTGAGTGGAATAATGTTGCATGTGAACTTGAGAATAGTGGATACATTTGTGCTTAATTTCTATTTTCTTTGAATCTGTACCCACTTATGTGTGTGTTTCCATCTGTTTTGCTTGAGGAAAAGCAATAGTTCAAGCATGGGGGAGTTGATAAACATGAATATTATCTATATTTTGACTATGTTTCACCTACAGATTCATTGTTATTTGATGTATTTCCTTGCATTTTGGCCATGTTAAGCTGCCTAGTTCTTGTTTACTGCTCTATTTATATATTGTGTAGGAATTACTGGAACTTAGCGCGGATTCGGAGTCAAGAAGGAGTCAAGGAATGCAAGGAAAGTGGCTACACGGTCACCTAGTGTTCAACAACACAGGCGTGTTGATTACAGAAGAAAAGCCCAGAAAGCAGAGCGAAACAGAATTAAACACGGCCTGGTCGTGTCGATCTGCACAGCCATGTTGGATGACAGCAGTCAGTTATCATGCGATCTGGAGCAAATATTTGAAGTTATCTTTCAACACGTTTTTCCCAGAATTAAAACGGAGACGCCCTGAAGCATCAAAGGAGAACCCGGAGGCTGGAGATCTTGATTTTTCTTTCTTCTTCTTCTCTTCTTCTCTCTAAAAACTCTTAGATTATGTTTTCTTTTGATTTGGAACTTGCTGTTTGTGGAGAATTGTGTGCAACTTCAACACTACGGTTTATCTTTCTGATCTATTGTGGAGAATTGTGTGCAACTTCAACACTACGGTTTATCTTTCTGATCTATCTCAATTTCCAGTTTATGATTATGATCTTATATTTATCTTTCTGATCTATCTCAATTTCCAGTTTATGATTATGATCTTATATATTGTTATCATGTTTTCTAATTCAATTATGTGTGAGTAATTGTCTTATCTAGGATTGAACTAGGTTCCGCCATGGTTATGAATTAATGAACTGATTGTTGTTGTTATTGATTGTTCGACTTGTATTATTCAGTTACTAGTATCTAATTGCCTAGGGTTAATTCAATTGGTCACTGATTTAATTCTCTTAGGATGTTGATTTGAACTGAAAGGTTAGATTAACGCCGGAAAATAGTAATTGAACAAGAATTAATTGATCACGAAAGTAGATTAATTATTCCTTGAGAACATGAGGGATTAACAAGAACTTAATGGGTTTAATTTAGTTTAACCCCATGAAAATAGGTTGTTAGGCTGAAATTAGGCATGATTTTTAGTCGTCGAAAGAGACTAATAGTTATCATAGGTTAGTCGTTCTTAATGCATTGAGAGATTCGATAGCAATTGATTAATTTATTAATTCGAACCAGAGTTGAAACCGAAGTTCAATCCTAGATCCTTTTAATTGAGTGAATTCGTCGTTGATACTAGCTAGCGTGTTCGTTATTGATAATCAAAAATCATACTTTTTAACACAATTGGTTTAGATAGTTACAAAACAGTGAAAATCAGTAATTAACAACGAAGTCCCTGAGGATACGACCTTGCATCGCTACAACGATATCCGTGCACTTGCGGATTTGAGTGAACACCTTTGTGCATGTTTTGTGCATTTGCACCCATATTTTCACAAATATACATTGAATTAATCTCAAATCAATTCTTATCATATTCAAACATCAAAATATATTATTTTTCATTATAAAATATATTTATCATTATTTATCATAAAATATTCAAATTTACGGGGTTTTACAGTTTGGACTCTCGTTCGGGTTCTCGACTTGTTGTGGATTGAGTTCGTACTGGACACAACAAGTGGGACATTTGGTTACTTTGGTGTCGGCTCAGTTTTGGGAAAATTTCGCCGAGGTGGAGAATTGTGAACACGTGACCGCGTTGAGGAGGCGTTGCGGATGAAAGAAACCGGCCCACGAATTGAAATCCGCTCACGAATTCATCAGGCTATAAATAGTCATATAATTTATGCCCTAGGTATGCAAGGTAGGAGAAATTTGGCAGGCGGCGTGCAAAGAAAGGGCTTCTGACTTGGGCAGCGTGCATTGCAGGGTTCGTGAGCAGAGAAATCATAGCCCGACTTTGTGATTTTTTTTTGAGCAGCCTTGTTAGGGTTTTGTGTATTCTTTTGAGAGAGATATTTGTATGAGGGATCTGAGAGTTTGTGTGAGGGTTTAGATTGAGTGATTGTAAACTCTAGTGTATTCTCTCACTCTATTAGTAGATCTCCCCCCTCCTTGCTCCGTGGACGTAGGCAATTTGCCGAACCACGTAAAATTAGTTGTATCGCTATTGGTGTGATTTGTAATAGCTTTTAGGTTCCCTCGATAGGTCAGTCCTAGAACTGATAAGAGGAAGAGCTGATATCTCACTTGGTTGAGATATTTTGCTTCAAATTCTTGTTTCCTTAGTGAGACGGGAATTCTTATTGCGATCTGACTCTCTTGTTGTGCTGCCGAAGTGCTGCCGAAATATCCGCTGCGCGCAACCGCCTTAAGTTAGGCTAAATTGGACTATATTGAACTATTTCAAGTTTAAACTCAGTCTGCCTTATTTTTAGACTACACTCTTTGGGGCTATTTCTATCCTAGTTTCTCTTTTAGACCAGGTGGTACTCAGTTTGTTTCTAGCGTACTTAGTGAGCAGAAATGGACCTAAAAAAGACTTGTTTACCCTACTTTTTTTATTTGCCAAACTAGGACCAAGCACATAGACACATTTAGTCTCCACTAAAGTAGGTTTATTAAGCTTGCCAAATAGGAACTTAGAGTCAGTTTGAACTGTGCCTGTTTAGTCTAGTTGGAGAGCATTCTTTTTTGATTGGCAAAAGTTGGATAATTTTGGGTCTAGTTTGTTCTACTTCAAATTTGGCCTTCTAAACTAGTTTAGTTGTGAGTTGGGGAAGCTGATTCACAACTAAACTTGTTCTGGCTAGAACTAGTTTAAGGCTCAGACCTTGTACATTTTAGTTGAGTTGCTAAACACACGCTTAGGATGTGTCTGGCAACTTCAAAATAGAATTGGGTTATACTAGTTTTATCTTAACTAGGCTAAAGTTTAACCATAAAAGGGTTGGTTTGCAAAAGAACTAGTTTAGGGGCTAAATTTTAAACTAGAAAGAACTAGTTCAATTTTGATCCAACTTTTGCCAAACTAAAAACAATATATTGGACCAAAGTTGTACCACTAAAATAAGTTTTGTGAAGTTGTCAAATACACTCTTAAACTATGTTTCGCAACTCTACAAAACTAGTTTTAATCGATAAAAAGTTGATCCAAAAGCTAATTCTTAGCGTGACAATAATCGAGTCAACACTAAACTGTGCTCTTTAGTTTAAATTTTAGCCTTTAGATTAGGTTGTTTTTTCAGTCTTTTGCTTTTTATTTTTGGACCAATTAAACCTTAGACCAACTTCGCCTAGATAAAGGAAAATTAGACATGACCTAGTTTCTTTTTGCAGTTGGCAAATAGACCATTGGATTTTGTCAATTGTTTTTTTTTTTTTTTTGAAGTATATCATATTAAAGTAGTATTTGAATAATCTTTCATCCGAATAGACAGCATTTGTAGCAAACTTATCTCTGCCTCATAATACTATATATCTATATTACTATATGAAAACCAAGTAAGGACAATAAAAAATATGAATATTTGAAGGACATGTTCCCCTTTCAATTGCAATTGAAGAAGTTGTAATTTTACAATGAATGTTTTTCTCTCTTTTATTTCCTCTTTCTTTCTTCTAAAACTTTCTATGTTGTCATCAAAATATAATTAGTACCTACATAATTGAATATATGCATTATATTTAGATTATAAACGGTACAAAGAGTAGATGATAGTGTCTAAAAAAAAGAGACTATTCATATATCTATATTACTATCTATATAAAAAGGATTGCTTCAATTTCTATCTCTACCATAAATCTATCATATTAGTATTTTTTTAATATAAGTTTTTTTTTAAAAAACTCTAAACAGCCCAATTCTAGTTAAAGTTTTTATGCTCACAATTTAAATTAGAGTTTGCGTACTCTAAAATATTTCTATTGCACGTGCATTTATGAGAAGTCAACCAGTGACTTTAGCCGGCGTTAAGAGTAGTAGTCAAGGTCAAATTTTGAATGGGCCCACCAATTGACCATCGTTTATAGCCACAAAAAATCCAACAAGTGGAGTCCGTGCACGTGCAGAAAGTAGGTCCCACATCAAAAATGTTTTTTTATTTACTCTGTGATCAGCTTTACGTAAGATGATGACGTAGGCGACCAATCAACCATCAAACTCGTGTCTAAAACTTTGGTGGACACGGACACAAGTGACCAGGATGTGACGACCGTACGTGGCTATCTTTTATTGGATGCTCATGATCCGGCGACTGGGTACATGACCCGCGATCAAAGCTTTTTTGATGTAAACTTATCGCTTTCTCTCTCTTGACAAGCAACAGTCCACAATTGACATGAGGAAGTCTGATTCAATGAACACCTTAATATTGTGAGGGGCGACAACAAAAATTTAAAAACAAAAAAAGAAAGAAGAAAACATATGTAGATCACTCTCTGTACGGAATGTTTGATTGTTTGAAGTACAAATAACACATCTATTATCATTTATTTGCTATTGTAACAATTTTATAAATTTATA